CCAAACTTCGTTTCAAGGAGCAACTGAAGTTCCTCGGTTCAAACATCCAAGACAACCAAGCTAGCCGTGGTTTCACCGGTGACTATGGCCCACCCCGTGTGTCCCCCTGGGGTTCTCCGCGGGTTCCCCGCGCGAGGACCGCGCGCGGCGCAGCGCGGAGGCCTTCGCGGTCTTCGCGGCGGAGGCGGCGGCGGCGGCGCAGAAGCGGCGGGCGGAGGAGGCGGCGCTGGTGCGGCGCATGCGGCAGGAGGTCGGGGGGGATGGGCGGGAGGGGGAGGAAAGAGGGGAGGAAAGGGGGGTGCTGTTTATTTCTTCTTTGTTTTGCTTTTCTGTTTCTTTTCTTTCTGGGGGGGAGGTGAGGTTGGGGGGTGGGGGGGGGCTATGGCCGCTCAGAGTATATCAAGAACAACAAAGCCAAGAGCGTAAAAGAAGGATGCAAAATAGACCCCAAGTGTCCACCATTGAGAGTTCAGGTGGGGAGTTGGAGTGAGGGCATTTGTCAAGGCAAAAAATGAAGAGAACAGGGCTGAAGGGAGGCTGGTGTGAGATATCGGCTTTCAGAAGGGCGATTTTCAGCGAGCTTCGTTTTGGTAGTGCGGTGAACGAAAAGCAGGGCCTCCAGATCCGCCATAAGTCCCTTGATCAACTTATTCCAGGGAGCCCTTGGACAATCCCGGGTTGGTCGTGGCTCACTTGAAAGCTTGGACAACCCAGTCAGGGCTGAACGCTCCTCGCTCTTCTCGAATGAGGATGGGGGTGGGGAAGCGGATGCCTGATGTTTTTTTTGGACTCGGAGGAGGCAGAGAAGAAGGAGAAGGCCAAGGAGGCCGAGGAGGTGCGGCGGCGGCAGCGGGACCATCGTCTGGCGCAAGCGCAGCAGCGCCGCCATGCGGCCGACCAAGCGGCGCGGGCACGGTGCCTCGGCATGTGGCGCTTAAAACATGGCCCTGAGCCGTGCTGAGCCGTGACACTCAGGCGCGCCCTGCTCAAGTCAGCCCACAAGGCGGCACAGGAAGCTGTGCAGGAAGCAGCGAAGCAGAAAGCGGCGCAGAAGGCCGACCAAGGAAAATGCGACAAGCGCCAGCGCCCTTTTTGATAGGCCAGCGCTCGCCCGGTTCTGGACGGCGCAACTGCTGCGCGGCAGCAAGGCGGCTTAGCGGCAAGTTGAACGGAGCCGCAATAGGCTGGCAACATTCACAGAAATGCCGCAGGTTTGCAGCGCTTTGCGGCGAGCCTGGACGCGGCTCATAGCCACTACGCCAAAGGCGCCAGGCCAAAATCAGGCCGCAGCCTGGGCAGACTTGACGTCGGATGTCGTCACCGGTGCAGCGTGCGACTCAGGGGCGTTGAGAAGAACGGCCTCAGCTCCGAACAGGCGCGGAACGCGGTCGCAGTGAGTCAGATGGGCCTTCGCCGCAGGAGGCCGACATCTGCCAGCTGCGTCGTCTGCGGCGCGGAGGTGGGGGGGTGGGGGGTGGGACTATGCTAGGGCAAAGCTTTGCAACCAGCTAAAGGCGGTGGGTCACCGTTTGGAAAGGAGAACCAATCAGAAGCAAAGGCCCCTTGTCATACGATTGAACTTGCATTTGGGGTTACTAAGCTTACGTCGGCTTTGGCGCCAACCCCTTAGGTGAAACTGGCAAAGCCCCGAGAGGAGTACTCGGCGGGGCCGGGCGGTGGGTTGCTGGGGAAGCTTTGCCCTAGTGGACATGCCTGGAATCTGGAGCCCGGTTTGGGGATTCCGGGATAACCCCGATCTCCGTGTAGCAGGGTTGACCGTTTTTGCCAGCCCGTCCATGCTCGTCCAACAGGGCAGTGTGTGAATGACGACTCAATTGCGAAGGGATCCTCCACCCATCCAACCCTCACCAATAGTTTGGCTGCAAAGACGCGTGATCAATCCAAAGAGCATGAACAATGCTTGACGTGTTGTTCACTAATAAGGTTAAGTAGAAAGGGATTCTCAAGGGCCCACATTCACAGTTCCAGCCAGCACTTGGGGATGACCTTGAAAACGTGCACCCGTCAGCACATGCGAGTCAGATAGTAAAGGATTATTGTTAGCAAACGCCGAAAGCTTGTGCTTTTCCTCTCTTCGCTTGGTCCTCTGGGAACGTGTGAATTGTTCTGTTTGCTTGGCAGGCCTATATGATGGCCCATATCCCCCTTCAGAACCGACCGAGTCTTTGAACGGCCACTTCCCCCGTCAGGTGTCGGCGGTTGATCTCCCGCGCGACGGCGCCTAGGGCACGCAGGCTCACGGCCAAAGTGCCAGGCAGGGTGGAACTTGGGGTTTCGGGTGGCCCACTTTCCAAGTGAAAGGGACGCCCGTTAGTGACAAAGCGACTCCAGTTTATCAGAGAATTGCTGATTTTCCACCTGCCGATGGGTAAGGGCGATGGCGCGGAGCCGTGCTACGCCGCCATTTCTGCCTCACCAAGTGTAGATAGGCTGTCGGCCGCCGGTGCTGTTTCCAGTGCTTGGCGAAATGGGCCGTCTTGAGCATCTCACTGAGCCGGCTTCTGCCAAGCAGGCCCTGACCTCCGTGAAGCTCCCAAAAGAGCAAGGCGTTTGCGGTTTGACGTGTGCAGGTCCTCACATGCCCCCTCTCTGTGCGCATTTTTCGAAATTGGAGCAGGGAGGCAGTTGTTTGCCCTCGGCCGAAAGCGGCAACCCCCCTTGGCACTGAGGAGAGACATTGAGGCCTCAGCTGATCCACGCAGTGCCATCCTCGGGCCTCGGGTCTGGCGCCCTTGCCTTTGCCATTTGCGAGGCCCGCTGGTACAGCCCACCACTTCGGGAGGCCGTCCCTCGCTGAAGGGCCTGCAATTCGCTTCCGGCGAGTCCCTGCCAGAGACCCAGACCTCAGACTCGCAGCGCCATCGGGAAGAGGCGATCCGCATCGAGGCCTTTCGACGGCTCACCCACCAACACGCTCCCAGGGTCTCCCACTGGACTGTCCTGGCCTCGGTGGGTCCAGGCGCCAGCCGACAAAATTCCAACCCAGGATGATGTTCCCTCAGTACCTTCGAGCGGTGAAGCTAGGCGGAGTTCCATGCTTGCTTCCCATGCTTGCAGTGTCAGCCGCTCACTTTGCAAAGTCACCGGACGTGCGTGGCTGCGCGCAGGCGGCTTCCAGAATGATGGCCTCAATGCGCTGTACGTGGAGCGGCCGTCCGAGGCATTCAGGGTGAACGACCGCGCCTCGCCTGCGACTTTTGCGAGCCAAACGTTTTGGAGGGCGAACGCTCAAAGTTTCCCGCCCGCATGGTCGTTTGTGTGAGGTGAGACCTACTGGCCCGCCTCGGGCTACTACTTCATCTATAGAAGTCTCGCCCCCAGTCGCCCACGCTGGCCATAGCGACCAAGCTTGGCTCAGGCAGGAGTACGAGCACTTGGGGCATCGGCAAGGCAAAGCGCTTTGATGCCATCAAGGCGGCGCTCTTGTGAACACTTTGGTCAACCCTATTTGACTTTTTTCAGCTCCTTGGCTTAACGCGCACTGCTCGTTGCTCGTTGCATGCGCAGGAGGGCAAGAGCAATGGCGTGGCTCACAGCCCCGAGGGGTGCGCCTGGATGTCGCTGCGGCTAGGCAGAGGCCGGCTGTGCCAGGTACGAGCTGTGGCTGGAGGTCAACGAGGGCCAAGCAACACGAAAGCCAGAGCCTCAGCCCCCGCAATGGTTCAAGGCAGTGAGTTTTTTTTTTGCACATCTTCAGACTCTAGAAGTCCTCTTCAAAGAAGATCTTGTCACTGTCACTGGCCCCCAACCAGAACGACCAGCAAGCTTGTTCGCGCATGTTTCCGCACAAGTCCATTCGCGGTTTTGCGCGCTTGCCGTGACCTTGGCATTTTCGGGGACAACCCCACTTCTCGAGGGAACGGCCATAGTTTTGGATGGGGCGGCCGCAACTTTGCAAAATTGTTGTAAGGCTTGGCCGCAGTTTCCCGAACATCTCGCCGATCGTTATCCTCCGTGGTAGTTGAAAAAGAGCGCGGCGTATTTGTAGTAGAAACCCGTAGCAAACACAAAGGAGAAAACCCCTAGAAACCCCGTGGGAAACCTGCAATTTTCGAGGAACAAACAAAAAACAACACACAAAACTGGACCAACCTGAAAGGTCCCTTTCGCCCCCGGACACGAAACAGGAAGTGCATCTCGGGAGCTCGAGGCTTCGGCTCGGCGGGCAAGGGTGGGTTTCAGAAGCCCCGCGGGAAGAACAAATCACCAGGGGAGCCATGAGGTTAGGCTTTGAGCGAAGTCTAAGGCCAAAGGCAAAACAACATGTCCTTGCTTCGGCCGCAATTGGTCACGGCCAGCAAGAAGTGGAGAAAGACATATGCAAGAGCCAGAAAAAGCGGCTTTTGGTTTTTGTGGAGGTACCAACCCCCTTGCGTAATCGCTGGAGAGGTTCCCCGAAGACAGGCTGAGCAAAAGCTGTTGACCCTGGAATGCCCTGGAAGACGGGCATGTGGCACCCTGGCCCACAACTGGTCTGAAGGACGAACTGGCGGGAGTGGGACATCCAGATGAACAAGTGGGTGCTGGCCTCGGACTGCGTCAAGGCAGGATCTTGGGAAGAAGAAAAACCCGGCAGGTCACCCGTGCGGGCTCCGGCGTGCTCAGCCGTGGCAAGGCCCATCCTCCAAGCCGAGCCCAGCGCCCAGCTCAGCTCGGCTCCGTGCCAGGTGCGGCCCAAGGCCCCAGGGGTCAACAAGGCGGAGGCGGGTCGGTTCCGCAGAAAGAGCCCCTGTTGCTGGAGACCCGCCAGGTAGCTGTGCAGGCGGTCGTCGAGGCACGCCTCGCCCTGCCCCGCATTTGGGCGTGTCTCCTTTTTTTCTCTTTTCAGTTGATGATGGTACCCCCCCCCTTCCCCTTCTTGATGGTCCTTCCCTTGTTTGGTGGTTTTCTAGGGGAACCAACAAGAGAAACGAGCCACCCATTCGACATGCGAGGTGGCCCACCGGGAGATCCAGGCGATCGCCAGCCAGGGCCCAGCG